TATATATTAGATAGGTTTACGCCGTGCACGCATGGCGGTCTAAAACTTCTGCGAATTCGAGACACTACGCGACAAGCTTGGCATTATCCAAATGAGAATTAAGACAGAGTGTTAAGTTTAATGCTCATTAACTAAATAAAATATATGTACTAAAAGATAATTCTAGAATTACTATTAGTATAATTAATAAATAGTTGAGATTATATTAGTTGGTTATTGAACTACCTACCATAATTATCACCGACCTATGAAATATGATGTGTGTATATATGTAATGAAGCTCAGAAAGTTGATGTAGAAAAAAAAATAAGAAATCAAGAAAACCAATTCTCTTCCACTATAATTTGTTTCCCTATATTATTACCTCTCTTCTCATATAATTAAATTAATATTTATTTAATAAATATTCTTAGTTTTGATACCAACAAATGTAAAGAAAAGCCATATAATAAGCATATATATAGATCGTCGTGTGCACTTTTAATGTCTAAAGATGCAGTACAGATAGGTTACCAAATATGGATCTACAAACAGAGTTAATTATGCCATGATAGCAACTAAAATCAAGTAATGCCAAAAAACATCACCTATGCAATAATTCCATCACTTCTAATATTGTTCGAAGTTCGAACGACATATAGTAATGGTTCAGAAAGACATATGCTCCTTAAAAGCCAAGCCCGTAATGATCATCGCAATCTTTTTAAATAGATAATCAAAGCAAGGTAAGAAACAAAAAATAAATGAGCACTTTAGAAGATTAAAATTCCTGCTCAACCCCAAAGATATGGATCATGAAATGGAAACCTTTCGATATTATTTTCACCATAAAAATCCAGATTTTTTTTAGCTTATGGTTCATTAGTTAAGCATCTAGATGCCAGAAAGTTACCGTAGTTTCTCATAGATCTTTTTCATGTCCTAGATCATTCGGGCAAAAAAAAAAATGCTCTAAGCATTGAACGCAAACCAGCTGTAACAAACTAAACCCATCTAAACATGCTATACAAACCATAGCTCACAGATCCAAGAAAGATAACAAGTAAGTTGTTACATCAATCAAATTAATCTACCATTAGAAAAAAAAGAATACCATCATCTAATGTAATAATTAATATAGACAGAATCGGAAAGATAGACGTGAAACATAAACTTCAATATACAATTACAGTATGCAAGTCCATAAATTACATCCTCATATATCTCAAAGTTACTGAAATAGAAGAACGGTAACTCATACAACACCCTCATATGTAACTAAAATCAATGTTAGGGTGAAACTCCACCCACGAAGACCATACCCCAAATCCATAACAATAACATAATTGCCCCAAAAGTCGAAAACCTCCATGCAAATGACCACTGACCAAAATCATCGCCAATTCATTACTGCAACACACTTTATCCAAGAACACCTCTATTGAAAATCAACAACCAAACATACTATTTCAAGCGGTTAACCACGGAAAAATCTCAAATTCACTTAATTCCGTAAGTCCCTAAGTTAGCAAAAGTCGTAATCCGAGAAACCCAAACCAATATTAAGTAAAAAAAAAACTTTTTCTCCTCAGATAGAGGCGCCAGAGGTTGCTTCTTCCCGCCAGCCGCCGCGGGGGGATATCGAGCTAAAGTGACGCCGCTTCTTGTCAGCCTCACCTGGTGATGTTTTCGTCGGAGTCGCCGACGTAGAAGTCTTTGCCGGCGAGTTTGACAAAAAATGGGTGAGAGGAAATGAAATCTGAGGGGAGAGGAGAACTCCACGGGGTGAGGGTGCAAGGTTCTAGAGAAGTATGAACAATATCTTTCTTCAATCTTTTTATGTCGGTCGCGTGTGTGGAAAAACGGGAAAAGTAGCTGTCATGTACAAATCAAATGACCATAACGTTGAAAGCCGGTGTAAATATAAACATTTGATATTAGCAAATTCACTTATTGAAAATCTCATTTACTGGTAATCTAGAGCAAAACTGTACTGAAATATGACCTTGATTTTTGCGAGCATCAGCTTGAACCGGTCGAAGTCATTGAGGGTGGCCCTTCTCTTTTGAACAATGAGTTTCCTACCCAAAGAGCTCTTTTCCCATTTTCCCTTGACATCTGCAAAAAAACATCATAAAGAAATTAAGCAATCTTCACTATAGACGAATTCAAAAGGTAGAGTAAGTTTTTCTATTTCCAAAGTGAAATACATACCAGCAGCTCCCATAGCAGCTATCAGAGTCTTCTTCGTCGGGATCCTTTTGATATCAATCTTGATATCCGTAAGAGAAAACCTCTTGAAGTTCATCTGGCTTCTTACCATATCGGGGGCATCTACAAGAGCCTAAAGCAAGGCAAACAAATTATTGAACAAAAACTATAATAAAAAATAAAAAAAACCACTATAAACATTACAGAAGTTCAAAAACACGGTATATCTACAACTGCATGAGCAAGGGCCTCCAACTATATATAGCAGAAGCACCAAATGTCTTAATCGCATCAACATTGAAAATGGGGCAATGATATTATGCAAATGCGAACTCATAATCAATGAACGATCTGCATAGGTAATAATTTACACTCTGAATTCTAATTTACACTCTGAATTCTACTCATTTGCAGCATTCAATACCAACAAAACGCAAATGTATCTCACATAATCAGACTACTGTAAAGATCCACCCTAGTACAATGTTTCAAAAGCTAAGGGAAACAAAGAAAACCCATTGGGAGAACAAACAGTAACCAATTTATAGCTTTAATCAAGAGCGTGAAACATAAACTTAGTCCAAATTAAGGACAAATCTAAACCAAGGGAGCTAAAGAAGACATTCAATCAACATAGCTACGATCACACATATAAAACACAAATTCTATCTCTGATCCTGAGCATTAAACAATAGCAAATTCCAAAATTAAGCACAAAATCTCGACCAAAGGAGCCAAAAGAAGACAATCAATCAACAAAATACGAAAATCAGCTCATCACACCGAATACCTGAAATCTACGGTAGTGATGTAGGCTCACTCCTCGAATGGGAAGCGAAAAACTTGAAGGGCTAGTTTTTCTCTTAATATACTTCATACTCTTACTCTCTACTGAGAAGTTAACCAAGTACAAAATAATTTTAATCATTACTAATTTTTAATTGAATAAAAAAATGAACAAAGGAATAATGCATCGTAGCCATTACAGACCGAAAACTCTTCCTCAATAGATCGTTGGCATGAGACGACACAGACCTACAAATTTTCATCATTAACCTCAAATTAACATAATCCATTTTGCTAATTAGACACGACGACAACTCAACAAAACTAAATAATATGGGAAACGAACAGAAAAGGTGCTACACAACGTCAAGAGTAGCCAAAATACCCTCAAAGCCTTGAGAAAATATATGAACCACCAATATCTGGGAGAACCCCCAAAGATGTTCCGAGGCCCGAGCATTGCAAAAATCTGAAAAAAAAAAGGTTAATGGCAAGGATCAAGAAACCAAAGAGTGCGCTTATCAACTCACACACACAAATATGCTCAAAAGCTGAAGAAGGAGAGCACTTCAACAGTTAAATGTGCACTTCAATTTTAGATTGTCGACTTATAATCCATAATCAGATTTGAACATAACAAATGAAAATCAGCCACCTGAGCCAAAAGCTGGTAGATCGAAGTCTTGAGTTCTCTTCTTTTGTACTATAAAGAGTTGGCCTTTCTTAAGAAGAAAATAAAGCTCCCGACGTAAAGAAATTTTGAGACAAAAATAGAGGTTAGACCTAACTCAATAACAATAGTTGCCCTAAATTAAAATTTTTCTATGCTTTAATAGATATATTAAAATATATATATATATATATATATATATATGGTACCTTTTTGTGCACTGGCAGAGCAAAGAGTCGGAGGTCTTGCCGGAGTACAAAGCCAACGTGGGAATTGTGGGCGGTGACCCGCCTTTCCCAACCGACACGCTGCCTTCACTCCAACAAGATTCTACAAAGAAGCCAAACCAAAAATCCCAATAGAAATCAACACATCAAATTTTCCATAAACAAAACAATCACTGCACCCAAATCATCATTTCACTTTTAACAAACAATTAGAACCAAACATCCAAAGTTTTCCATAGTTTCAGCCTCTAAAAAAAACTCGACCGAAGAATAATTCAGAGCCCTAATTTTATAGTAGAACTCGGAAATCAAAACGCAGCTCAACTATTTTTGGAGTTCCAGGACCTTGACCGGAGTTCTCATCCCTATGCCTGACCAAATTACCTTCAGGCTTCAACCCACAACCGCCATTAATACCAGAGGTAGAGACAACGAGTTGCACCGCCGTTGGTTGGCAACTTCATCTCGAACACCACTATTGGACGGGTAGAGACGTAACTGAAAGAGGCAATGGGAGGTGTGGGTCAGAGAGCTCTCTGCTTCCAAGGAGGAGGTTTGAGAAAATGAAATAAAACGATTATTATAGATAGGGTCATTTTTTAATCCTTAAGAGATGTCACAAAATCAATCGGCAAGGTAGGGCGGCAAAATCGTGCGGCACTCTAGGATTTTCGGCCTTTCGGACGGCCCAGGAAGAAGAACGTGGGTATGTGGCGTGTGGCAGCACATATACGCACGTCTGCCCAGATTTTGTGCAAGGAAATCCCGCTGAGGTAGGCAACAAAGAACTGGAAATTACGCCTGCACCCCTCTAAAAGGTGAATGCAGCAGGCCTTTTGAGTAAACCCACATACCAGTGGAAGAAACTGTGAATTAAAATGCATCTGAAGGCACCAAAACGGTGCCGTTTACGCTCAACGAAAGAAAAAAAAAAATAGCAACTGCCACGTGTCGACCACCGGAAGGGTAAAAAATGGACACGTGTCGCCACTACAATCGCCATAACTCGTTTATATAAATAATAACACTAGATTTGGCGACGCCGTGCATGCACGGCGGTCTAACGCTCCGTGTAAAAGTACAACAAAAATTTGTCCTAAGTTGTTGTTTGCGTGCGAGCAGTATATACCTGGAAATTTTTCCAGGTATCCAGGTATGTACCTGGACAAATTTTCCTTTCTCTTCTTTCAATCAGAGGAGTCACTTGTTATTACTATTATCTCTCCAATATATATAAGGCAACAACAAAAGGCCTTCTTTGATCGACACCTGTCATTTTCAGCCCAAAAATGCCTTTAGTTTTGCCCTGGATTTACAAGCCTGCTACTTTGCTTTATGCATAGTGGGAGAAAGTACGTTTCTGACGTTGTATACCAAGCACCAGAAATTTTGTTGAGACAGAGAGTGTACGCCATATCTTTGTGATCCTTTCGCCTGATATACTTAGAAGTATAACATTTGGGCCCTTTCACCCTTTTTCAGCTTCGGCACCATAAATGGAAGCAATGCCTGCAGAAACCATTACACTATGATCCATGGACAAAATATATTGCTCTGATTTGAAGGTTTACCATTTTTTAACATTAAGAAATCAAATACACTGAATCTAAACAAAACAAAAACTATGGTTCGTTTCAACAAACTCATCGAGTGCTTGGAAGGAGACTGCCCAACCGCCTTACAAATACACGACTAAAGCTTTCAAAGATCTCCCTTATCCCACAACCAGTTGAGTTTAACTCAGTAATGATTTTATCAATACTTTCTTCCCCTGAAAACCAACCAGATGCAGAATTTAGAGTGTAAACCTTTTTTTATTACTTCTTCTAGAGACAAAGATAACAAAGAAATACAACAATACCTCAGCAATTGGGAAGTAAACACATGTCAGTCTGTCATTTGCTTCTAGAAGCACTCTTTTACCTGGAGATTTCAAAGAAAATGTTAGAGCTCATCTTACACAAATGAATTACAACCACATTGGTGATCATACAAGACATCCTTACAAAGAGGAGAAAAGCATCACAATTATTTCTAAGGTAACAAAATAATGGGCTTACTTTGACCGTGCAGTAGAGAAAGATCTTGGCTATTGCTAAAATGAAGTTGCAACACGAAGTTTGGACCATTGCACAAATGCCTGTTTGAAAGTTATTGCTAGTATTAGAATAGCAATACCGTGTGCAATCTATATGTGGAATCAAGACAAGTGATTACATCTTGCTCTTGAAATTATAGCCCAATAAACTATATTATATTAAAGAATAGAGAGAACTTAATAGAATCAGTAAATTTATAGGAATATAATACTCACCCCCTTCAGTTAAAACTAAATCAAACCTCGTGTTGTCGCCTTTTTTTGTGTAGTTTTCAAACTTGTTTATTAAGGTTTTAGAAGACACCACAAATCTGTAAGGTACTATTTGTAATTATCCATTTACGCTATTCCTGCAACGGACTAAGTTCTTGTTTACGTCAAGAAAAATCCTCGAGTTTTACAACCATTGATGGACTTGATTAATTAGATCGTTTTCTAGTCATCCAGAAATCTCTACTTTTTCCCACTCTTTAGTCATTATGGTCTGATCAACAGTCAAATATGGCAAAAATTTGAGAATTGACGACTAAATGAGACAACTTGTTTAAACTCTACGATATAAAATTTGTAATATAGGTGACTTGTTTTGTACATGCATCTTATTTGATGAATCATTTGATGGCAGAGACAATGCAGATGTCAAAACCAGATACCATAAATATCAAAAGAAATATCAAGTAAAAAAGGTAGTATAAGGAAATGAAAGGCATTAAACACTCACATCCAACAAAAGAAACTTGAATGAAAACAAACAAGTATCATTCACCTAATGTAGTAGGAAAAATTTAAAACATCGTCAACAGACAACAGACAACCAAGATAAAATATCCAGAAATAGAAAACACAATCTAGAAAATGACCTTAAACACCAGAGGTCAGCTTGTTTTTCCAGGCATTTCATCATTACACTGTTCAATCAGACAAAAGGAATTTGTAGATAAACTTTGTTTTACAAAATGATTAAGGAGAATGATCCATCTAAGAATAATTTAGAATCTTGTTTCTGTATATTACTTAACCAGCATAAAAAAAATAAAACAGTAAGAGCTCTACGCAGTTAACCTGAATATATGGGAAGTAAATGTCCTTCAACTTGCACTGCAGATGTTTTGCATCATGAGTTTCCATTTTAGGGTAATTTCAACCTGATAGCAAGTATAATGACATCATTGACTGTCAAATTTCAATTCTAACCGAACAAGCTTAAAAAACAAATGTTATCAGAAACACAACAAAACAAAATTGAATGAATAAATAGGGATACCATTGGGAAGGGAAAGGGTCAGGCAACACGGAGAGGGTTTCGAGCATCGACTTTGAAATGCGAAAGAATAATAAAAGCATCTTTTACAAGATTTAACCTTGCTCCCAATTTCATTACCAGTAGCTTCTGCAATGTCCGTACTCTTTGTCGGTGACGAGTGACTCACTCTTCTATTACTTTGGTTCACATTATTGCACTCGTCCGGTTTTGTATTGATATCAGCCGGTACTGATTTCATGATTGGAGAATCAGCCATTCGCGCATGTGAGCTTAATGGGGTATTGGGATGAGGAGATTGCTCATGAGACTCGACAAAATTGGCCAAAAGCAAAGCACCTGTGAGGTTATAGTTCAACTATTTTTAGCTCGAGAACAAAAGTATAAAACCAAATTTCACCAAATACCAAAAATTCCACGACCAAAATACTCACAACTCCAACCAAACCCATATCACTCTTAGTATTTGAGAAAAA